CCACCCACCCACCCACCAACCAACCAAGATTCCTTGTCGTTTCTCCTGCGTGGAATTAACGTAGAAGCTTTCTCTTTCCCCTCCCCTGGGATCAGGGAAATGGGGGTGAGCGGTGCTGTCCTTCCTCCTTCTTATAGCAACTTCTGGGACGTAGGGTTGCCATCCTCCAGTTGGGGCCTGGAGAGCTCCTGGAATTACGACGGATCCCCAGGCGACAGAGATCAGTTCCCCTAGAGAAAATGACTGCTTGGGAGGATGTGCTCTATGGCATTATACCCTGCTGAGGCCCTTTCCCACCAAACCCTGTGTTCCCCAGGCGTCACCCCCAAATCTCCAGGAATTTCTCAGCCTGGAGTTTGCAACCCTAGTGTGAAGAGTTCTCATGGGCATAGGTGATTTTATGTGTCTCATGTACTTACATTTATATGATGCTTTTTGAGCATTAGTAGTTCTTGAAGTGGTTTGCAGCACTTTCTTTGGGGGGAGGGAGTTCCTCCTACCCCAATTTAAATTTTTCTTTGCATTTCTCTCTGAACCCCAGAACCTCTTAATCTTTGTTTATTTAGAAAATTGATATGCTGCCTCTCTAGAGGCTTACTCCAGGCAGCTCCCAAAGTAAAAACAAGTACAATGAAATAATTGAAGGAACAGCCATAAAACTATTATGGTACAAATATGCTGTAAAAATGAACACTAAAATGGTATCTGTAAAATAGCCCCAGGTGAGAAGTAGATTATGGGAACAGATTAAAGATTGCATCTGGGTAAACCTGTTAGTCTGTTGCAACAAAGTAAAACAGAAGTCCAGCAGCAACTAAAGACAAACAATTTTTTTAAAGCGTAAGTGTTTGTGAGTCAGACCTCAGTCAGATAGAGCATCCATCCCGTTTAAACTGCTTTAGATGGACACTCCATGCATCTGATGAAGCAGACTCTGACTTGCAGAACTTTACACTGAAATAAATTGTGTTAGACTTTAAGATGGCACTGGCCTCCAGTTTGATTTAGCTTCAGACTTAAGCTCTCGCTTTCCCAGTTTTCCTTCCCCTTTAAGATTTTATGAAGAGGTATGGAAGAAGAGATGGGGAATTGGAAAAGGTGTATGTGGATAGGAGATCTGCTTCCCCCAGTCGCAAGGGTATAGACTTTCCAATTTCCCGGGGGGGGGGGCTGGGGCTGGGCCAGAGGCATTGCTTTGCTAGGAGCAAGGGTGGCTCCCGGGGGAGGCTGAGCACCTTCCTGAAAATTTCGGCGGGGGCTGAAGCCCTGCTGCCCCCACGAAGATTACGCCTATGCGTCTTGTTTGCTGGTGTAACTTGTACATGGTATACTGTGTACTTTCTGTAAAATAAGAGGAAATGGGGTTCAAATTTACTTAGAAGGGTCTATTGACTAATTTCAAATATGTAGGGATGTGCTGTGGTATCTCACTTGGTAACCTACATTCTTCATGTACTCAGAATCACATTTTCATCTAATTAGTTCTTATAAGGAAAAATAGTGTTAATACTTAAGAAAAATGTGTATTCAATCTGTTTCACATATGCTGTCATTAAACCTTGCGACGCTGGCCAGTATTATTCCCATGTTGCAGGGGGAAAGAAAAAGGTGTCTTAAGGGATAATTGTGACTTGTGTACTCTCATGCTTCTGAAATCAGAAAATGTCCTTGATAACTCTGATGCAGGTAATTAGTCAGGTGTTTCGATATGAGTTCTTGAGTTTTGGGGTTTGAGCTGCAAGTGTCCCTTGCATGAAAGAATATTGGCTGCTGTACTCTGATCATATTTTGTCTGCTTAATATGCAGTGTAACCATTCAGAATGGGAATCTTAACTTGTATGTTTTCACAGTATTGATGAAGTTAACATTTGTCTCATGGTGATTCCAGTTCCAGTTGGCAAGCAACTCTGGCTGGAATGCAGGTATATATGGCACAGTGAAAACTGGGAACAGAAGTGTAACTGTAAGTGTTGGCAGAACAAAATTTGAGTCCAGTGGCATCTTTAAGACCAGCGAAGTTTAATTCTAGGTATAAGCTTTCGTGTGCATGCACACTTCTTCGGTGTTGGCTGCGTGAGAGCAACTGGATCTTGCAGCCTTAAGGAAAACAAAGGGATAGGCATGTGATTCAGAGAGAGGAATAATACTGACAGAACAGAGGGCAGGTTTTCTTTCATGAGTTATTAGTTGGAGCAGATTTATCTCCTGTTGGCTGCAGGTGGAATGGTGAAGTGATATGTTGCTCCCAAGAACATGGGACCTTTCAAATGTGTGAAGACTAAGGTGGGACTGCATCTGATTTTAGATTAGTTATTAATAATAGTATTAGTATTAAAACAAGGTGCACAGAATTTTTGTTTAGAAAGTTAATTGACTTTCATGTATGAAAATGCCTTATATAAAGTTGAATCTGCTGCTCTGCATAGGCCCTGGTCACACGGGCAGGAAAATGTGGGCGGGGAGGAGCGTGGCTGTTTGCCCCGGAGCAAAATAACGCACGGCTGCGCGATCAGACGTCCCGTCGAGGTCCCGTGGTTAGGGGGGAGGTGCTGATCACAGGACAGTCCTGCGGCGTGGCAAAGAAGCGGCCTCCCTAGCAAAAGGCTCCACGGGATTAACCCCTTCCAGGGCTTCAGAGGAATGCAAACTGTGTCCTCCGTCTGGTCCCCTCCAGGAGGAGCTTCAGCCGGGCCGCCCTCCCGCCACCCCCCTGCCCCTCCCCTTCTGCCGCCCAGTGCAGAGAGTTCCTGTAATTATTTCATGTTTAACTGTGTGTGTCTTTAAAAGTTTGGTTGCATGGCGATGAGAGATAGTCTAGAGTGGTTGAAACAGGCAAGTGGTGTGATTGGTGATTGGCAGAAAGGGGGAGGGGTTTTGGAAGTGATACTGTGTGGATGATATTTATGTCTGTCAAGAGTGACAGTTAGAGTGGGGACAGTTGAAAAAGACAGTTGTTAAGTCAGTTAAGTTCTGTCTCTGAAAGAAGGAGACACATCCCTGTGTGGGATAAGTTGGTCCTGTGTATGAAAAGAGTGAAGCAGTCTTGTATGATATAAGAGTTCTGAGTTAAATATTTGTGTGTGAAAGGAGAGACATTCAGTTCTGTGTTATAGGAGTTATAAGCTGAAAGCTGAGAGTCTAGGAAACAGTAAAGATTATATGGACTTGAAGGAAAAGTGTTACAAAGTTACCTATGAAAAATCCCTGTCAGTAGGGAGCAAACTGTGTGTTATACCTACTTTACTAGTTACATGGTTCTACCCTCGTATTTATGCTTTATTTAAATAAATCCTATTTCATTCAAGTATACCAGCTCTGAAATAAATACATCCTGAGGAACACATAGTCCCTTGAAAGCCTAAAGACCCGACCTACCTACCCAGTAGAAAAAATATTATATTATAAAGGTTTGGAAAGCCTTAAAATTTCCTGGTGGCAGCCGGATATACAGAGTAAAACAAAACAGAAAGAACATTTTAAAGTAAAACCAGACCTCCCCAGTTAAGGGGTCGTCACAGTTCCTCTCGAGCAGGCCGAGCCAGAAGTGGGGGGGTATGGAAAAGAGGAGGGGGCTGTGTTTGTTTTTAAACAAAGTGTGTGCATGCGACGTTGGGTGCTTGTGCGCATCCCGTGGAGACTTTAAAAAAACAACCTTTTATCGACAGAACATGGGCGGGCGCCGGATGCCACAACCTACCACCGGAAACGCGATCAGGCGCCCGCCGTTGCCCCGCGGTTTCCGGAAACTAGTACCTCGGAGGTACTAGTTTTTTACCCCGCATCTTCGGCGGGAAGCCTCAGGTTTGCCACGGGAGCTCTACGCTTCCCAGATGTGGCTCTGTGATCGCGCCCAGAAAATCCACCTATCTTCCGTCTCTGTAGCGTGGCTAATGCTCCGTGTGACCGCAGCCATAGTTTAGTATTGACAGTTCTCACTGGAGGTAGCTCTTCAGGGTCTTGGGCAGAGAAAGATGTTTTTCTGAAGACTGAAAGTACTGAAAGAACTTTCTGTATGCAAGGCATGTGCTCTGCCATTGTTCTTCTCCTTGTAACTATTTATGACTCCATGGGTGACAGGCCTGTTTTTAGAAGAGTTAATTTCCCTTCTTGCACCAGTGGTAATATTTCTTTGATGGTACTTGCTGTGATATGTATTCATGCATCATCTAAAAACAAAGATAGTATGCTGTTTCCTTTGGAACTCTTGTTATTTTATTGATTTGCCAATCTGTATAGGCTTAACTGACCAGTTAAAACTCATTATGATTAATGAACTACAATTTCTTTCTCTGACAGCCGTAATAAGTTTCAGCTAATGCATAGATATATCTTTGGAAACCTTTGTCAGTAAAGTCTCTTGGTGTCACAGGCAAGTTTATTTTAATTTATAACATAAAATGTGTGCACCACTGATAACTATTGATATCTGCTCTATGCAATGAAGTTTCCACCTTCATTTTATATAGCCCCGGTTTGTTCACAAATTAAAAAAGTATCAAATTAAACTGGAAATAACATACAGTAATGGGAGAATATGACTTGGGGGGCATTGCACAAGAGCTATACTTTTTAAACATGTCGTTGAAGTAGGATGAGAAAAGCTAAAGTTAGGCAGCTTACTAAGCCATCTCAAAAGTTAGAAGCTATTGGGAATAGTCAAAAGGAAATTTAATTATAAGAAATCATGGTTGTGATTAAACTATTCTGTGACTTTACACTGCATAGCTAAGCCTATGGGACTGATAGCTTAAT